CAGAAGAGCTCAAGTGTGGCCCCCAGGCGATGCTGCCCGTTCCATCCCCCCGGGCCCCGCCCGGGGAGCTGGCGCTACCTGGCCCCGTGTGCTTGAGAATGAAGTTTTCATCGTCAAACTTCTTCCCGTAGATGGATTTGCCTCCAGTGCCGTTGTGGTTGGTGAAGTCGCCGGCCTGGCACATGAACTGGGGGATGATGCGGTGGAAGCTGCTCCCTTTGAAGCCGAAGCCTTTCTCGTGGGTGCAGAGGCAGCGGAAATTCTCTGTGCGGGGGCGAGGGGGAGCGAGGTGAGAGCTGCGTCACAGTGGGAAGCCACCCCGCTGGGGAGGCCGACCCCCTCCTCACCTACGGTCATGGGCACCACATCTGAGCGCAGCAGGATCTGCAGCCGCCCTGCAGGTTTGTTTCCGATCTTGATGTCCATGTAAACCTGAGGGTTGACCCGGGATTTCTTGGCAGGAGGCTCACCCTGGGCAGGAAAATGAAAGAGCAAGTTGAGATTGAGATGCTGTGCCCCTGCTCTGCCTCCAGAGAGAGCTGGTCCCACACGCTCAGCCTTCGGGACGGCAGGGATACAGACGATGCCGGTTGCTTTTCCTACCTCCTGCACCTGCGGATTGGGGGCCTCGGCCCCTGCCTCCTCGGTGTTCTCCTCCAGCGTCTTCCCTGAAAACCTCTTCAGCCAGTCGTCGTCTGACCAGACTGCAACGGCAAAAGGGTGGGTCAGGGCACAGGAATCAAAGCGGGGGCCGCGGGTCAGGGAGCAGCACGGCGCTGGCAGCAGGAGCGCACCCGAGGCCTGGCAGCGCTCAGCTGGCAGAGGCCTCCCCCAGAGACACGGTGTGCAGGGAAGTCAGGGACACAGTCATCCCTCCTTCCTCCCAGAGGTGCCACACGTCACCGGGCAAGTGCGAGCCAACATGGGACTAACCCCACGCAGGGTTAGCTCAGGGGGCCCTTGGCTTTTACAGATGTGGCCAGATGTGCGGGTAACTCTGCCTGGCACGCCTGTGCTGTGCCCTCTGTCAGAGCGTTTCCACCCAAGGAACAGGGAGCTATTTTTGCTTATTAGGGTACTGCTCAGATCACGGAGATCCCCAGACGGGAGGCAGCGCGGGGGCCTCTGCCTCAGGGTCTGGGGATCCAGAGAAAAGCTGAGGCACGAAGCTCTCACCACCCACAGGGACACTCCTGTCCCCCCTCCCCGGTACCGACTCACCAGGCCTGGAGGATCCCTCTTTAATTCGCATTGGTTTGGCCAAGTTCACACGAATTGTCCTGCCAAAGAGCTCCGACTCATTCTGCAGAGGAAAAAACGGCACAGAGCCCCCCACGAGGTGAAAACACCCCACCGTGCCCCTCCATCCCTGCCCAGCCCGGCGGGAAACAGAGCCCACCCAGGGCTGTGCTCGGTGCTCCCGGGAGCACGGCAGAGCCAGGCGTCTCCAGGGGCGAGCGGAAACGGGGTCCATACCATGTTGTCGATAGCTGCCGCCGCGTCCTGCCAAAAACACCAAAGAAAGCCCATCACCCTTTCTTCTCTCTACACCCCAAACGCGAGGCCCAGCCTGTGCGTCCCAGCATTTTGCTGCCAAACAGGCTGCCACCGGCCTTGGGGAAAAGGCAAGGCAGGAATTGGGGAAAAGGCAGGCAGGAATTGGGGAAAAGCAAGGCAGGAATTGGGGAAAAGGCAAGGCAGGAATTGGGGAAAAGGCAGGCAGGAATTGGGGAAAAGCAAGGCAGGAATTGGGGAAAAGGCAAGGCAGGAATTGGGGAAAAGGCAGGCAGGAATTGGGGAAAAGCAAGGCAGGAATTGGGGAAAAGGCAAGGCAGGAATTGGGGAAAAGGCAGGCAGGAATTGGGGAAAAGCAAGGCAGGAATTGGGGAAAAGGCAAGGCAGGAATTGGGGAAAAGGCAGGCAGGAATTGGGGAAAAGCAAGGCAGGAATTGGGGAAAAGGCAAGGCAGGAATTGGGGAAAAGGCAGGCAGGAATTGGGGAAAAGCAAGGCAGGAATTGGGGAAAAGGCAAGGCAGGAATTGGGGAAAAGGCAGGCAGGAATTGGGGAAAAGCAAGGCAGGAATTGGGGAAAAGCAAGGCAGGAATCGGGAAAGGCGGCACAGCAGCTGCTGCTGGAGTTTCTCTCCAGCTTCCATCAACTTCCACGCTGCTCTTTCCGGCGGGAAGGGGATCCAGCCCAAAAACCCCAGGGAAAGGGG